TAAATGAATACATACAGCATAAAAAGGCCAATATAGCTATATGTAATTACGGTTTTCAACATAATTATTTAGAAATAGATGTAATATATTTGTACTTTAACACAATATTTATGTGTGAAAAATATGCAATATTAAAATGAATATAAAACATGTAAACACACGAAAAGTTAAATACGAAATATTTTACAACCCTATGTTCATATTCTTATCATTTAAAGCATCTATCTATATCAATATTTGCAAACCTATAAAATTAATTAATGTATACAAAGTAAATATCAAATCAAGTGTATCATAAATCTCTCAGCATTTTTTTTCCCACTTTTAAAAAAATACACTTCTTTTTTGGAGCGGTTTTAGGTTCATAGCAAAACTGAGAGATACAGAAATTTCCCATATACCTCTTACCCCACACATTCATAGCTTCTCCCATCATCAACATCCCTCACTTCAGTGGTATAATTATTACAATCAATAAACCTACAATGGCACATATTAATCATTCAAACTTCATAGTTTACTTTAGGGTTTAATTTTGGTGTTGTATATTTTATATATTTTGACAAAGGAATAATGACAAGTATCAACCACTGTAGTATCATATAGAGTACCTTCTCTGCCTTAAAAATTGTCTGTGCTCCACCTGTTCATCCTTCTCCCCTACCCCTCTCCCTGGCAATGACTAATTTTTTCTGTCTCCAAAGTTCAGCTTGCTACAGGATGTCACATAGTTTAAATCAAACAATATGCTACCTTTGCAGATTGGCTTCTTTCACTTAGTAATATGCATTTAAGTTAGCTCCATGTTTTCATGGCTTGATAGCTCATCCTTTATTAGTGCTAGTATTTTATTTCCTGGATGTACCACAGTTTATTTAAATTGTTACCTACTGAAGGACATCTTCGTTGTTTCCAAGTTTTGGCAAGTATGAATAAAGCTTCCATAAACACCTGTGTGCAGGTTTTTGTGTGGGCATACTGATATGGTTTGGCTGTGTCCCCACCCAAATCTTGAGTTGTAGCTTCCATGATTCCCACATGTGGGAGGGACTCGGTCAGAGATAATTGAATCATGGGGGTGGCTTCCCCATACTGTTCTCGAGGCAGTGAATAAGTCTCACGAGATCTGATGGTTTTATAAGGGGAAACCCCTTTCACTTGGCTCTTATTTTCTCTTGCCCGCCGCTGTTGAAGACAGGCCTGTTGCCCTCCGCCATGATTGCCAGGCCTCTCAACCGCGTGGAACTGTGAGTCCATTATACTTCATTTTCTTTATAAATTACCCAGTCTCGGGTATGTCTTTATCAGCAGTGTGAAAATGGACTAATACGCATAGTTTTCAACTTTTTTGAGTAAATATTATACTAAGCAGCATGATTGTTGGGTCTTCTGTTTAGATTTGTGAGAAACTGCCAAATTGTCTTCCAAAGTGTCTGTACCACTTTGCGTTTCCACTAACAATGAATGAGAATTTCTGTTGCTCCATCTTCATTAGCATTTGGTGGTATCAGTGTTTTCGATTTTGGCCATTCCAATAGGTGTGTAGCAGTATCTTATTGTTTCAATTTGTATTTCGTTGATGATATGTGATATGGAGCATCTTTTCATATGCTTATTTGCCATCTGTATACCTTCCTTGGTGAGATGTCTGTTAAGGCCTTTTGTCCATTTTAAAAAATTAGGTTGGTTGTTTTCTTATCATTGAGTTTTAATAGTTCTTTGTATATTTTGGATTACAGTCTTTTATCAGATACATATTTTGCAAATATTATTTCCAGTCTGCAGCTTGTCTTTTGCCCATACTACTTTTGATAGTATTTAGATTGATGCCTGTGTTTGAAGAACTAAACTTTTTCTATTCCATATGTGCAGAAATAAGATGTAAAGAAAGAAACTGAACCCCAGAAAATGTACTCTGAAAGAGATATGACCCTGAACCAGTAATCCAGTAATATCAAAAATTTAATGCTAGAATGGGCCTTGAAATTAAATTAATGCAAAAGCATAATTATACAAATGAAGCTCTTTAATCGTTTTGAGGTGAAGTCACATGCCCTAAAGTTACAAAACTACCTAGCAGCAAAGTTGATAATTGAATTGGATTCTGCAGTCTTGATTTTTTTTTTTTTTTTTTTTTTGACACTTCTCTTTAGGTCCCAATTCTTTGTTTTATTTATAATTGTAATATGTACAGACTCCTATAAGTTATCCAGATTCTTTCACTAGATTTTGCCTCAGGTACTTACAATATCATCTTATTTTTAAATCCTAGAATAATGAATGCTAATAAGGTACTAATATTCATCACTTTATTAAAGCTCTTTATGTGCTATCTGACTTTTAACCAATTCATTATTTAAAAGTAGCTTATCATTAATTGATGAGAAAGATAAAAAGAGATAATGTCTAGGATATAGGCACCAAGATAATTCTAAAAAGTATCATGGCAGTTTTAACCTCTGTAAAAATGATATTTGAGTCCCTTAAATACAATGGCTTTATATTCCATCTACCAACAATGGGCTTTATTATTATTTCATATTTTTTAGCTTTTCCTTCCTTCTTTTTTCTACTTTATAATGGTTAAATGTTATTTACCTTAGTTTCTAAGCTGGGTTTTATCTTAGATTTTACAAAGCAAAAGGCAGTATGCTGAAGAAGACATGATATTTGAAATCTCAAATGAGCGTGACTTTACCGAACATAAATGTCTCACTAACATTTATGGATCATGCTTTGTATACATTGGATAGAAGTCTGAAATTGATACTAATTATTTTTCTATTAAGCTAAATATAACTTTAGTCCTTTTTCAGACTAGAGACCCAATGGTGTAATATTTTATAGTAGTTCCGAATGCAGGGATAATATCCAATAAACACGCCATACTGATTGTAAAGTAGAATTGAGAAGAGAAGAATGGAACCAAGACAAAAGGTAAACGAACGTAATCTAAAGCCTTAATGAGAAAATACATTTCACACAAACCTTATTTCAATCAGGCAGTTGCCTTCCATGCAATTTCCCTTATTTAACAAAGACTGAAATCAGCAAAATCAAACGTATGTAAAAGCATTCCCAGGGGTATATTTTGACCCAACTAGTAAAGTAAGTAGTTTATATAATCAAAATCCTTATTGTTTCAAGTGCCTATGAATAATATTCAATTATTTTGAACCATGCATTACATTGTTAATTACAAAAGGAAATATTACTTCTCATAATGAGTAAGAGTATGAGCTTTAGGTCCAGGCCACCAGGGCATTATCCTGCCTTCCAACTCACTGACTGTGTAATCTAGAACGAGTCACTTAACTTCTCTGTGCCTCAGTTTCCTCATCTATAAAGTGAGGACAAAAACAGAAACGATGTAATAAGCCATGTTGGTGTGAGGAATAAACGAGTTAATACATGATCAGCATTATGAATAGTGTCTGGCACATAGTAAGTGCTATGTATCTATCAGTCATTATAGTGATGATGATGTATTTTTAAAAGTCTATACAAAATGTATAAAAAGGAAATCATAATATTTCCCAACTCACAGTTCTCATGATGATTAAAGGAGGTAATTTATATAAAGTTCTTAGAACCATGCTGGGTAGATAGGAAAAGTCAATAAATATTATTTTGAGTATGATTATTAAACTCTGCTTTGAGCCAAATAAGATATATTTTAAAATCATATATCTTATCTTCCGTTAAATCAGAATTAGTAAGATGAGAACATCTCTGCATTTTTTATAATGGAATAATATTAAAATGCTATTAAAGCCACATATATTTAGAAGTATTTAGTGTGTATTAAATGTTGAGTATGGTGTTAAGATTGTGGGATAGGCTGGGCGCAGTGGCTCACGCCTGTAATCCCAGCACTTTGGGAGGCCGAGGCGGGTGGATCACGAGGTCAGGAGATCGAGACCATCCTGGCTAACACAGTGAAACCCCGTCTCTACTAAAAAATACAAAAAATAAGCCGGGCGTGGTGGCGGGTGCCTGTAATCCCAGCTCCTCGGGAGGCTGAGGCAGGAGAACGGTGTGAACCTGGGAGGTGGAGCTTGCAGTGAGCTGAGATCGCGCCACTGCACTCCAGCCTGGGCGACAGTGTGACACTCCGTCTCAAAAAAAAAAAAAAAAGATTGTGGGATTAGTGAGCCTTGTTTGCAAGGGGCTCACAGATCAGTGTGGAAACAGTTATGTATATAAAACACAACGTATGTGAAATAAATTCTAATAGAAGTGTATATTAAATGTTAAACCTTTCAGATAATCAATTATACATCATCTTCTAAAAGGAGGTGAGATTTGAGCACAGCCTTGAAAGACAGATAGAATTTTGAGCGGAAACACATAAAGAAAAATTTTTTTCCAGGCAGAATGAACACTAGGCTGTACAGGGGCACATGTTACTCCAGGTTGCACATACATACTGCACTTCTAATATGTCTCCTACTCTGGAGCGTGACCTCTGTCAGGGCAAAGACCATGGTGTAATTATCTTAGAATTCCCAGCACCTAGCTCAGAGTCTGAGACAAATTCAGTACTTAATAATTATTTGTAGAACTGAGGAAATGTGCTTTGCTGAAATATAGGGACTATGTGGGATGGAAAGAATTGAGACTAGACATAAAGGCAGCATCTAGATGATTACAGC